TATTTCGGCTTAATTTGAAATACCTAGTAGTATAAACAAATAATAGCATGATTTGACGTGATATTTGGCATAAATATCACTCACAATGATAATTCAAAATTGTCTCAAATTTCACTCACCTAACGGCTCGTGAGATTACATATAACAATTTTGAAATATCACTCGTGGTATTTATGAAAAATATCATTACAAATCATGCCATTACTTATACTAATTGAATTATAGTCCTCTGTGACACATGCACATTAAGGACAAATTTATGATTAGAGGCTTTCTGTCAAGACCTCGCTCGTCTCCCGGGCCTTCCCCCCTTGTAAGTGGGACGGAAAATTGTCGGATCATTTTACGTTTCTTTGAAACTGCCCACCTACCCCTCCCCTAAACCAACATTAACACTCAGTTCTTACTTAGGGCAAAATGTCGGCTTAGGGGAGGGGCTAAGTTACCCGTGCCCATTGCCCTAGATACAAGTAGATCACCTATAAACCGCTAGGCTATCGGGCTATCAAGCTGATGGACCCGGAGAAGTCGACCAAATTAGGTGAAATTGGCCAAGATCTTATGGTACCAAACACCCCCTGCTCTTACGATGCTCTTAGCGGCGAACACCGCGCTCAAATGTGGTTTTGCTGATTTTAACAATTCGTGCAATCATTTTGTTTTTATTACCCATTGTAGTTTCAATGTACACATCTTGGAGATAAATCCAAGCCGTAGAAATGTGTATAAGTCGCTTTTCGAGTAGCCTGTGTACAAACGTCCCCCTCCCTCAGAGTCTCTTCTCCCGATTTTTCCAGAGGGAGGGGGGACGTCTGTACACAGGCTACTTTTCGAGTTGCAACAGAAAAAAAAACAGTTAAATTGTGTGAAAGAAATAAATCGAAACAATAATGAAGTTCAGAAGAGTTAAGTTGCTAACGCGTTTTTCTACAGTCAGAAAAGTCGAGTAAGGGTCCCATAAATATAGAAATTTAAATTTTTTTAGTAAGCTTGGTTCGGGGTTGCCTGTTTAGCATTATAATAGAGGATGAAATATAAATCATCTGTTAATTCAGGAACCAATAATTTCGTTTTAAAATAATTGTATAATTTCTCTTTCAAAATTTTGATCGTCTGTTTGGCAGTGTACTAGGACTTTTTAGAGTTGTGACTTTAGGATCTTAATATGACCGTTTCAAACTGAAAACCTTACGGTATTGGTTTTATCTCGTCCAAATTTTCAAGTTTTGTTGTCATCATTGACTGGATTTATTGGGTTGTGCTAGTGTTTTAATCACGAGCCCTAATCGCTGCCAGAAAGTATTCGTTTTCTTCTGTTATCTTTCAAAAAAATTGCTGACATAACTAATATGACTAAGTGGTTGGTTGCAAGAATATTTTATAAATTTCACCCAGTGGGCTAAGACATTGCTTTTCGAGAAAATTTGCGTGGGCGTTTTTCGAAGACATCTGGAATGAAAATCATAGGTAAGAGCTGATAAATTTTGGCCAATAAGAGTTGATTTTCAAATATTATTCATGTTAACGGGCGTCACAGTGAATAATCTTTATTGATTCCTTTTCAAAGTACCTTGGTTTTGTTGTCAGTTTGAGGCATGATTCCCTGTTGTGGATAACCCAGTAGATAACAGTTGCAAACTGATATATGTTTTTAGGTACTCGGGGAGGGATAAGTCACTTCATTTTAGGTCAGCAAGAGTGACAATACACAAGAGAAATACAGACGAGACATAGGGAACACAGGTGAGAGGACTAAAACCGACTGCATTCTGGTAAACTTGAAAAACAGCGACTCACTTTTTCAAATTGACCAAGGACAGATCAAAAAAATTTATTTAATTAATAATCGTAATTCCTCAAGTCTTGTCAGCTACCTCGGAGTCTGCTCCAGGTATTAGCTCGATTGATGTAACCAACTTGAAGACCTGAATAGGTACTGTGGACCTCTAATTAATCCCTGATAGTCTGAGATAAGCCGTGGTTCTAGTTGCTTTAAAACTTTTTGTTTTTCTTTCTTTCTATTTTTTTTTTCATTTTCAACGATTGGGGTTGTGTTCCTCTATATTGTTACTTTTTGTGTGGTAACTAACTTTTTAAATAACTAAAAAAATAAATAAATATTCAAAGGACTGCTTACCATTTACACAAACCATCCGCGTGGAAATCTTGTGCATGAACATATAAAACTATAAAATTTGACTTGGTGGGAAAACGCACCGCTACAAAATATATCCAAGTCATCTGAACAGACTAAAAAGAGGGAAAAAATTGCCGGATTTGCCTCAAATCACAGCCTATATTTTTGAAGCTTCTCAAAAGGAATGGCTCGAACCATTTGATTTTCCAACCGGAATGTCTGGTTTTCCCACGCAAATGATAAGTGGTCAAGCTTGTTTGCATGTAGACCTTCAACTCAGACAGGGGCACCCAACGAGAATATAGTTTAAAACCACTAACATATATCGCATTGTTAAACGTATTTTAGTATTTAAACGGTAGA